TAGAACAGTCTTCAAGATTATATTGCACAAACCGACAATTAAAATGATTCGAAATCTTACTCTCTCTCTCTCTCTCTCTCTCTCTCTCTCTCTCTCTCTCTTATTTTATGGATTTCATATTTCTGCTTGTTATGAATGACTGAGTGTGCTACAGGCCAAAAACGCGTTCAAACTTTAGCTTGATGGGCTACCGGGAAAAATTTTGCTGATCCCTTCTAACAACAGAGAAATAATTCACGAATGCACTCTGAAGCGAATACTATCAAATGGAAACATGTTAGCAAATGCACTCATCGCTATGCATCACCTTGAGACTCATCCTCTAAGGCTTTCAGGCAATAATTTTCACGACCCAAGGAACTCTACATGAAAGCAAACATTCTTGATATCAGTTTCCTCATATATAAAGTAATCTTATTATGTCATAAATAATTCATAGCATTTCAAATGAACCTCGAACTTTATCAACAAGCATGTGGAGAGGGAAACAGCGAGAGAGAGAGAGAGAGAGAGAGAGAGAGAGAGAGAGAGAGAGGAAGGGAAAAAATCACGATAGTTATTAAACAACTTAAACTTAAAATAAGCAAATAACCTAAAAAAGAAAAGCTTGCGTTGTTACCGCAAAGAGTGCAGGAATAAAAATTAATAAGATCGGTCCATGATGAAACAATGTATTTAACGACTATACAACAACAATTTAAAAAACTAAACAGCTCTCATCAGTCTCTCGGGTGCATGAATCTATTTTTTTTTTTTTTTGTTTTGCTTTGTTTTGTTTTTTAAATTATATTTTAGATGGTTGAAATAAAAATTTGTAAAATTACCTTTCTTTCGTGAGAGCTAAGGTACAAAACATGGAAATATGCAAAAAACGAAAAACAAAGAAAACAAAATACATTTTATCTCGTAGATATTCCTTTAAATATGCATATAAAAGCACTTGAAAACCTTATTTGAATTTGGTAATGGTTGCTTGAATGGGTTTCGGTTCGGATATGTATTAGATATTCAGTTGTTGGTCTGGCTATGCGAGGATGATGGGTATTTAAAAAAAAAGTATTTGTAAGTGCTTGTTTAGGTTGGTTTTGTGCAGTTTATACTTTGTTGCATATAAATGAAGCAATTTGTGGCAACACTTGCAGAGGGTTGTAAATCTTTTTTCCTTTTTGTTTTTTTTTTCTTCATATTTTTTGCTTCGTAACACTTTGTTGTTGTACCTTGAAACTTAGAAACATAGGGAAATGAGTGAAAAAATGAGTTGGTGCCTATCCAAAAAGCGTTTTATTTTACCGCTTTAGAGGATATATTAAAAAGAAGTAAAAACGCTATAGTGGGCCATGGTCCACCCCTAAATATTCTACCACAACCTACAGTTATTCATATAAGGACTATTCTAAGCCAGAAACTGTATACATTAGAACATTTGCAATAGTATTTGTTCTTGGGTCAAAACAGTTCAATGTCTCATCTCAAAAATTGCGATCTGTAGGTTTGACACAAGAGATGGCCAGATAGGCGGAGACGTTTCGATCGATCCAGACAAAAGTTGAGTCTATCTATCGCATACGTAGAAACAGCAGATATTCGTTTACGAAAATTTTTATTTATGAAATTAAATTTTCAGACATCAATAGAAATAATAATAAAAAAAAGAAAAACAATGCAAACATAGATAAATGGTTTAAGATGCCCTCAACGAAATATTTCCATTTTCTGACGAATCTGTTGGTGAAAGTGATAAAGTAATGCGAATTGTCAATGTACCCAACGATTAAATTTGATGAGATTATGACATTTCTCTACATAATATAAGAATTTTCCATTTAATATCATTGAGTTATTCTGTGTATAGAAATGCTTAAAATTGAGAGCAAGAGAGAGAGTGGTTTTCTGGGTGGTATTGTGCATGGCGATAAAAAGTGGGTCATGTGTTATGTCAGGGGAGCCGTCCACATGATACTGAAGCGGAATATCCAAGGCCATAAAGTGTTGCAGTGCAAATGGTGGGATCAGCAAGGTGTACTACGAGGTGTACGAGCTGCTAAAATCGAATAAAATTGTTAGTGCAGATGTCCACCGATATTAATTGAACTAATTGGACAATGTACTGTTGCAAAGCAGACGAGGAATAATGGAATAGAATAGAAAGCGCTTGTCCATACGTTGCAAAAGTTGTGAAGGGTATACTGCATCAATGCGAATGGGAAGTTCTGCCACACCCAGCGAAGTAGCGCTTTCTGATTGCCAATTTTTCAGATCAGAGCCATACTGCAGGCTTGCCTGGCACGCCCTTTTGAAATGGTGAAAAATTACGAAAATGGGTCAACGATTAGACCACAATGTCGGTCCTTCGACATGGTATCGCTATTGTTTTTAGAAAGATGGGGAAAAGTTGAGTTAAAAATGATGAGAAATAAATTGATTATAATATAGACTGTATTAATTTTTCTCAATAGATGGTTTTTTCAAGTGAAAAAAATGATTAAATTTTTTATTTAAAAATTTAAACGTTTTACACCTCATTTCAAACTTAACTCCGTCATGAAAGTCATATGAAGGAGTTTGAGATTTTCTTTTTTGTTTTCTTTTAAAGAGCTTTTCCATGTCATTATTCTCTATAGAAGAAATAATCTGTTGCTTTCTTTTGTTTTGTCTTTGCTAAGGTTAAATTTCTCTTTATAGAATACAAAATTTTAACCTTTATCAAGGATTTTGCTTTTTTGCTTCTAAGCAATGCTTTTTTTCTTTTTTCTTGTATGTATGTATTTATTATTTGCAGCTTTTTGCATCTCCATAATAAGAAATAGAAAAAATAAAAAATATATAAAAAAAAAAACAAAAGAAGAAAAAGAAGCAAAAAAAAAAAAAAAGGAAAAGAATTCTCCCTTATTTTTGTTTTATGTTCAGAGGTCGTCGCTGTCGAAGAACATCATGTATAAGGGCTATGTCATCACCGACAAAACAATGTAAGTTCATTCAGTCGTTGCTTCTCGCGCTGTGAATGCACGCACAACTGAACGTTTCGAGAATTTCTTTTATGTTTTTTTTTTTTTCGTGTGCTTTACGCTCGTTCGCTTGTAGTGAATACCGATGAAATTTAGTAAAAATTATTTAAATATTTATTTACGCTATTGTTACCGTAATACAAGCTTTATATGATGTTAAATATCGTTGTCTATCCTTTCAATAAGAGAAAAAGCAATTAATTGGCTTGACAAAAATAAATCAAAATATTTTTAATTAAACTCAACCTAACCGAGGCATCATCAATGTCATTATTTTAAAAAAAAATTGCAGTGGAAAAACTGCTGCGGAATGAGTTTCAATGAGTAAATCAATGAGAAATGTTAAAACTGATATCGAAAAGAAAAATGCAAAAAATGTGGTCAAAGGTTATTAGTGGTTATTAGTGGTTATTAGTGCTTTATATGAATTAAAACTACTATGTGCGTACAAAAACAAAAGCGGTGGTTTTTTAGTGTGAAGTGTTTAAAAACTCTCTGCTCTACACATATAGGAAAAAAGACAACATTATCAGTCTTATAAAATATATTTTTGTATACATATACATATATATGTGTGTGTCTATGTGAAATGTAAATGGAATTTGCGAAATTAATTAAGAGCCAAACTGGAATAGGCTATGCATTGGAATTTCTACCCAGCTCTAGAGAGAATAAATATTCGTAATAAACGTTTATTACTTTTCTTAATAAATAAACTGTTGTAGAGGAAAGTTTGTGTATTCGATTCTCCCCATGAAGATTGCTCAGAAATCTTTTAAACATTGAATGAATGCTTATTGACGTTTGTTCTTCTTTTTTAAATATTCTTCGCTCGGATTTAGATGGAAGAAATATTTCGAAATAGTGTACCAGGACTCACCCTAAAGGATTTGTTCTTATACCCTAATTCCCGTCCGATACAAGAATGTATCCAGTTTGTGCCGATGTGCACAACATTTAGCGATAAACCTATCTTTCGTTATACCAATCGATTCAGACTCATCTTCTAAGTCGCACACACCACACAAAACGAACTGACGGACAGACGAGTTTGTTTGTCCGTCTATGTGTGTGTGTGTGTGTGCGTGTGTGTTTTGTTTTTTTCAATCAACAGGTCGTAATTTTTGCGATATTTTTATAAAATGTTATAAACCGACGAGTTTTGACTCTGAGACGAGTGCCCTTGAAAATGGTTCGGATTGGAACACCTTTTCGATCGCTTTCCATATAACGCATGCCTTTGAAAAGCCGATGTGTAAACAACTGTATTGAATCGTTCTATCAATATTTTGCATAGTGTTTTATAGTTTTTCCAAATTTTTCTTTAAGCAACGAAGCGCACACTTAGCAAATTTTTATAATTTAAAACTGAGATAGCGTTACATACAAAACAAATTAGAACAAAAACTCCGCTACCATACTTTTCATGTCCAAACTTCCCGAAAAAAGTGGATGACTTAAGCCATGCCGACATCTTCGGCAACTTCTCGAACAGCGACTCTTCATAACAATATTCTTCACTGCTTCAACGAGGCGTCCAGGGTGGCATCATCATTAACACTTTCTGGGCTTTCTTTGAAGGAGTTGTACCACTTATAAAGTAGACTCACCAACTTTTTAAGATATTGAATTTCTCGATTTGTCATTTGTATGTGAGCCGTCATAATTCAAGGTATATCCAGGTCAAAGTGATTAATTTAATTAATTAATCGTAAATTAACCATCATTTTTAACTAGCAACACTTGACTTGTTTAACGGGAAACATTTGAACGATGGAAAACGAAAGGATCTGTAGTTTTCTTTTGGGCTAAACCCTTCCTTCACTTCTCAAGTGCAATTACTGCTAAGTGCAATTGTCGCTTTTTAATACCATAGCTGTAAAAACGTATTTAATTTTTTCTTTCTTTCATATACGAAGATTGGGTATTGTTTTCCTTTTGCCTTTAACATCAAAACGAATTTCTGAGATATTTTCTTTCTTTTTTTTTTTGCAGCTTGTTTGAACAAAGGAGGAAGTGCATTATTTCAATCGTTTATCAAAAATGCTGGTAAACATATTGATTTTTAATAATTTCTAGATGGAAAGAAAAATGACAAAATAAGTTAAATAAGATTTAAAATCAAAAGAGACGAACGTCAAAAGCACAAAAGGCCGCAACGCCAGCAAAGCAGAACGTCGGAACGCCAGAACGCTTCCTTAATTAATACAAAAGAAAAGATAGAGAGTGTGTGAGAGAGAGAGAGAGAGAGAGAGAGAGATAGAGATAGACAGATTAAGAGAGGGAGAGAAAAGGAAAGAATAAACATATTCCTTGTTAAACACAGAACGCAGCACAGAGCTTGTGTAAAACATGGAAATTGCATTTGTGCGATGGAATAATTAATCAAACTTCTGCAAACACAAGTTATGAACACAACGCTCAACAACGGCAACAGAAAACTATGCCAAGAAACTTTAAAGCCGAGACACGAGTAATCCATTGAGAAATTTGGGTGACGGCAGAAGAAAAACAGCTTATCCAACTGCAGCAACAATATTAATATCCTTGAAGTAAACGAAAATCGAAACGAAAAAAAATTAAAAAAAAAAAACGGAAAATTGGAATCATTATGAAAAATAAATGCCTCGAAAATAACTGGCAATGATCTTTATGTAATCATCATATTCAACATATGAAGCGAACTGTCAGCGACTCTGCATGTCGTCAAAGTGATATCGAAAAAAAAAATATGACGTTAAGTGAAATCATGATTCCAGAAAAAAATCATGCAACAAAAATATGCCTTATGGCAGGCAAAGGTCAGTCGCAAGGCAATAGCTTAAAAACGAAAAAAGCCTCGATGCTTAAACAGCAGGCGTCACTGCAAGCGCTTGTGACAGCAACTCCTGCAGTTTTACAGGCAATTGCAGATATTGGGCCAAAAGATAAACAATTGCAGCAGCAATATCGCCCGCAACAGAAGTTACAACTACAAGTAAAACGAAAACACTCGCATTCTGCAGTAACGGCGCCTTCACGAAATTCAATAATGACTAAAACTGCATTAACTTCGCCAGCATCAACGCAAACTCTAGCACAGTCTTTTCCCTTGATGGCTAGAGAAAAAAGTAGCATAGAATTATCGCCGCCGTTATCGTTATCTCTATCATTTTCGTCATCATCATCATCGTCGTCATCATCGTCACCATTATCAGGATTGCCGGTAACATTATTGCCATCAGAGAACAGAGAAACAGTTTCATCTGCAACACTTAATACAATTGCTGGAAAAAATTTAACAAACAACAAAGCTCAACGTGCCAGCAGAGTTTGTTTAAGCTCAAAGTGCAGCTTCAAACACAAATGTATGCAAAACCAACAGCAAAGCAAACCAAATAATATTATAGCAAACTATGCCAGCAGCAGGAACGACATTAGCTGTAACGAGACCACCATCGGCTGTTCAACAAAATCAACATTTCCAAATATGAAAGGACGACTTTCTCTTCATTTTCACAAAGCACATTTGGAATACATACTACGCCTCCTGATAGTATGTTTGATGTTTGTTATGTCAATGCAACTTCATACAGGTAAGTTTTTCTCTTTCCATTTACTTTTCTCTCTCATTTTGTCATTGCTTCTTAAGAATAATTTTAAATCAAATGAGCCATTAAATCTATGTCTCTTTTCGTTTGTCGGAACAAATTTCACAATTTTAAATAGAGCAAAAATTCATTTTAAACAAATTGGAAATAATTTAAAAAAAACCTATAAAATAGTTACTTACAATCTGGCTGGCGAGATATTCAGGCCTCGTTTTTATGTTTCTTATATACATAAAAATTGCTAAGTATTTTATTAATATATACGCATACACAATACTCAGCCAAACGAGATCATTTTTTAATTGGACATCTAGATGACCCAGTAAATATTTGTGCCAAAATTTCGACAACTATTTGATAGCCATTGTGTGCCTATGTAAGTGCATGCAACTCTTTTTTTACACCATAGGTACGTTCCTTAAATAAGCGTGCAAAAAGAATCGTGTAAAAACATATATGTGCAACTTTTGATAAATTTAGAGATATGTTCCACAACTTGAAAAAATCGCGTGAGATGAAAAAGCTCCAAATACGAAACAACGGAAACATTTAATTTTCATTTCTAAAGGGGAAAAAAAAATTAATATTAGTGAAAATTCAGTTCATAAATACAACGAGCAAAATATGAAATTGAAATTAAGAATCAAAATCAATTTCCCTATTGTAAACAATACATTTGTGGGCGTAATGTGACTGACTGACCTCACACTCGTAGTCACAGTATTTCCTCAGTTGTGTTTAATCGCTGTATAAAATTGAAAAAAAGTGTGTTTGTTCTCATTGGTGAACCGTGTTATTTCAAAATCGTGTAAAAAAAGGGTTGCGTGCACGTGTGTCTGCAAGCAGAAATGATTCATTTTTAAATAGCATGTGCCTGGCTGTACCAAGAACATGTATAGTTTCATGCTATAGGTCCCCTTTTCGCTTGGGAATAGGCTTATATCTAAGAAGTTTAACGGGACACACGATAATCTTTCTTATAGGCTACTTGTAACGTTTTATGGATCTGTGCGATCTCTCGACCAATTTCTTGCCTAAATAAATATTCGAAATAATTTCGAAAAATGTCATTCCTTTGAACGCCGCTAAAATGCGCAGACAGAGGGATGGATTTGATTTGAACTAATTTATCTTTTCCTTTCGATTTTCCACATCTTTAAACATCCAGACGCATTATTAGTAAGGACTTGGAGATATTTATGAAAAAAAGGTTCGTTTTAATTAATCAAAAAAACTCGACTTTATTCTTTATTTATGTAAAGCCAAAGAGTGTATTGACAATTGTTAGGCTTGGTCCTATTTTACGATAAGTTACTACTTTTTAATGCGTAGTGGCAAAATCTAAAAAGGCATCAGACAAACAACAAATATGTAATATTCTATAGATATATAGTACTCTGTTACGCCAGGTAAAACACTACATCTATTACTAAGTTCCTGCCTCAGTATATGCCAGAGCGGCGATTTAGACTTTCGGGACGGATGTCAAGACTATTTACATCTTTCTCTGCTACTCAAAGGAACAGCAAAATTAAAGTATTACAATTCTCGATTGGCGGATTGAGTCCATTTCCCTGTTCTTATACGACCCATGGGTGGCTGAAAGGACGGAACTGAACGTAATGAATGGCAATTACCTAACTGTAATGAACGCATAAAACCAGTGCCCGTTTTTCAATATTACAGAGCTTGTCGTATAGTACTGATAAATTTATAATTTTTCGTATGGAATGTGATGGAATGTGTTTCTACATCAACCCTGGAAACATACAAGTGGCGAGTAAATGAACAGACAGCATGACTGATATTCTTAATTTCATATATAATCTCAGTTGAGTATTTTCGACTGGAAGAAACCTAATTGCAATATTAATTTACTCGGCGTTGCGATGATGAGGCGCCCTATTATCGCTATTCACCTTTAAGCAACAATCGTAGTAATATCTTCACAGTTATGAAACTCGACAATGGCTTTTGTATAGAATTTATTTACTCGTTTCATTTATAGCTAATCATAAGTTAAAATGAATTTTAAGTTTTCGTAAAGATTGGACAGTGATTTTGATTTCTTTCATTAATTTTTCGAATCGCTTTTCTTGAATTTCCGCTTTTCATTTTTTATTTAAACGATCAGTTCATACACACACACAACCATAATTCACTGAACATGTTGTCAATTCGTTGAGCAATTTTTCATTATAAATGAAGTTCCGGTTTTGCAATTGTTAGCTAGAACGAGTTTCATATTGTTTCGAAATGACTACAGACTGGTCAGTAGACCAGTCCGTAGAAAGCAATAATTTTCGCTGTGTGGTAAGAAAATTAAATGCAAATATAATTTACTTACACTGACTGCCAAAAATATGCGTACAACTACCTTAAAAAACATCTTTAACCAAATTTTTATAATTTTGTGATGATGAAAAAATCAAGAAACATACACAAAAACTCTATATACATATATATAACATATAAATATATGTATAAGAATTGTATACTTTATTGTGGTTATGTTCATAAAAATTTCATCTAACGTTAACATCGCATATCACATAACCATTGTACATAGATTTTTTCATCCAAGAGTACACAGTACAGAGTGCGGGGTACATAGATATGTAAATGCATGTGGTGTAAACGCAGATAGAAAGTTTATATCCTTTGAAATAGCATTGCGTTGGGTGCATATGTAATTATTCTGTAAATGGGGAAAGTGTAAAACACTGTATACTCTAACACAATCAGCCAGCAACACAATAATAACAACAATAATTGATAACAAACACGAAAACTCGTTTCCACCATAGATTCATTTTATGTTATTCAGTTATTTATTTTCTTTCGTTCTTTTTTTCATAAGAAATGCTTGCAACTGTGTGGGTAACACTTGCTACAAATTGTTCGTTACAATAACGGAAGACTATTAAAAGTATACATAAATAGTGGCCGTACATAGGATAGATGTTTAGGTTTAAACGCAGTACGGAAAGCATTCACAAAGAGTTGAAAAAAATAAAAATAAAAAATAAGAACCAAACACAAAGAGATTTGAAAATGAGCCAAAGCATGGACACCCATCCTGTTTGTTGGCATAAAAGAAAAGTCTTTTATAGATTTACGCCTCTGCATAAACTGACGCATTGCATTTTAATTGAAGATTTTTTCATATTCAAGTTTTTAGACTTAACTGTCAAATCAAAATTTCGATATTATGTCCGACGTTTTACCTTTCGATTTAAGTTTCCTGATTCACTCCGCCTGAGCAACCGAGTAAGTAAGAATCTCGATTAGCTGGAGTTTTCTTTAGTGTTAGTGCGGTGCACACTTACTTGTATGCGACCACCATTTCCCTTCCTTGTCTTTCCACACTGCTTTCTGACGGTCATCTTGTTATACGAATAGTGGACGTCCCCTCATCCCATATTACAAAAAAAAAAAAAAAAAACAGCGGACTTGAGCTTACTTTAAACAAAAACTCTTATTCAATTATTCTCTCCTTAAGATCTTTAATTCGTTATTATAATAGAATGTAAAGCCGGACACGAAGATTGGAATGAATGGTTTTTCTCAAAACGGTCCATTTACGTAACATTTGAAAACATGGAGACTTTACGTTTCTGAAAGTATAAGACGACGTCTTATCCACGTGAGACGAATCTCGAGCAGAAAGTTTCGGAATTTTCGCCTTTCACGTGAATGTATTTCCGTTAATGGGTAATGTGTTCTTGTGCGTGCCGTTAGGATTGTCATGATGAAACAGGAAAATTTTTTTTGCGTAAAGCAATGAAAAAGTTTTAGTTTAAAATGGAAATAATGTTACATTCTGATTGATATATATATTGAAATATATATTCATAGTTTATTGAAAACTACATTGAGCAATCGTTGCGGTCGGAGATAAAGGAAAGTGCTTTTTGTCTCTTACAGTAGATCATCTCCACAAGAAAATGTGTTTACAGGAGATCTGTCAATGGCTTGGAAACGTTTTTTGACGCCTATGTACATTCGTTGAGCTGCTTTGTCAGAAAAAAAAAGTGTTTTCTTTTTAGGAGGTCTTCCTCTATTTGTCAATTGTTCAAGTCTTTCAAGCTCAAATTCATTTTTCTAATGAAGTGTAACAAATAAACATTGTTTTACAAAAGTAGGTTGAATTGTAGTAAAAAGATTATTTTTCTTTGCAACAAAAGGGGAAGCTCGTACATGTTTCTTTAGAGACCGTTACTGGAGGCAAACATTGAAATCTGAAATTATTCAGATGCGAATTGCGGTCTGTTAGTGAGGTGTAGCCAGTTCGAAATATTCGGGCTGATATTTTAAACATTTGTAGGGTTGAGATGCTTTAAGTAGCAGCTTCACCCGACAAAATGTACCTTTCAGCCGCACAAAAGACTCTGACTGGCCGGTAAACCTTTTAAATATCATTTCTAAAAACTTGAGGGATTTTTTAGGACAATGAAAAAAGAAGTAAAACCGTGTACTCTTAAGTGAGTGAGGAGGACACCCATGTTCGATTGAGGCAAATTAAATAAATATTGCTTGGATTATTCCTTGCCCTGTCGGGACGAGAACTCTATGACCAATTAGATAATCTTACCAAGCCAATAAAAGAAAGACTTCAGCCGAATTTAGTTTTGGAGAAAAGTGGCAAATGCATCCAAAGTAGGAAAAAATTATGATTTAAAAAATAAAAGTATTTTCTAGAGAGCACGGGCAGTTAAGGTACTACCTTTCGCCGGCCATATCTGTTTGATGCCTTGCCTAGATTTTTGCGAATCCTTTACTTTTCATATGCAATCCTTATGACACAGGGAGAAAATGAAATTAAAGATAAGATGTAAGTGAATCATATTGATGAAGTGTAAAATGTTTACAGTTTTCAATTAGTGCGATTAGTTAGCGATTGCAATGTGGGATTTAAGAAACAACTTTTGGTTGATAAGGGATGAATGAATATTGCTTTACCTGGTAAAAGTAACTAAAAAAAA